CCCCAAAACCCCAAAACCCCAAAACCCCACAAATTATATTTCATTTTGAAAGCCAATTTTACTGTTACTTAGTAAAATGGGCTACTTTGAGAGCAGAATAAGGGCAAATATGCCACCTTTTCTTCGTATTTCTCTGAGCAAAGGGTTAAAACTACCCCTGCTATTATTGATACATCACCGTTGAAATAGAGGTTAATACCTAGGAGGTTGGTCGAAATAAAAATCCTATTTGTAAATACCTTTATCTGCAGCAGAATATGTAGATTCAAAGCTCTAAGGTATTTTTAGGAACTATCAAGGTAAGACTAAATTATTCATCATTCAGCATAAACTAATTTTTCAGGAAATTGAAATTGGAAATATAAAGGCTTCTAGTATCTGTTTTAAGGATGTTCAAACAACAATATTGAGAAGGAATTTGATCATAAAAGTTTCTCCTTCTCATCTAAGAACTGTTCCTCGGTCAAAATAAACTCGTTGAGTCTAATGGTCAAATAAGATGACTTACTCTGCTATTTTGAAAATCTGGGAACCAAGAAGCGAACTTGTAGTGATAACTTCCAGACCATCATCATTTTTAGGATGATCGCTGATGAAATACCACTTCTTGAGGACAACTTCATAGTTCTCACCAGAGTGACTGTGAGAAGGACACCCATTTTCAAAGAAAGATAGAAGAGCTAACAGTGATAGACAGTCAACATATTTTGATATATGACTAACGGAAAGGCTGTAAATTTTAGAGAGTGAATTCGTACCTCCCATCCTTTTCTCCAAGGAAGAAATAATCAATGATTTTTGGGTTATACTCTAACAGCTTAGAGACATCAGTCTCATAAGCGGAGTCACTTATCTGATTGTTTAGGTCTTCATCCAGAATCCGTGCAAGGCAATATGATCTGATAAAGTCCTGATCTAGAAATGAATGTGATGATGATTGAAATTTTCACCGAGAAAAGTGTTGTCATTTCTTTCAGCCCAAATTACCTTTAAGTCTTCATAATTTACCAAGTCTGTATCTTGTTAAACATCATGAACTTACTTCTGAAGCAAGATGCTGGCTCCAATAATTATCTTAGACCAATAAGAGTTCCCAAGGATCCAAGATCCTCAGGTACTTATACTATTTTTCTTCTTTCTCTTTGAAGCTAAAGGCTTGTAATATTTTCCAAAGCGGCTGCCTTCAGATCAATTCTTTTTCAGTACCTATGCATTACCACGATTGCTTGCTTCTTCCAATGGTCTTCTATATTACAGCTTTAGATTCTGGACTTGGTCCTGCTCCATCAAGCTTCATTTTTGAGTGAAATTTTGGCTTACCGTATAAGAAACTGATCTAGTTCTAAAGCATCACAATTCTTATTTCAAATGTGCCTTAACTTCTTTTTCACCTTTTCTTCAATTCTTGGGTCCCCTGAGTCTGAATAAGTAAGGATAGCATCGTATCTACACTTTTTAAGGGGTATCCTTACTTATAAGTCATGTTTGTGGTTACTTTTTCCTCAATAATCTTAACAAGAGTGCTTAAAATCTCTTTTTCTATAAGAATGGTTAGGCCAAGCCAACCCTGGACTTAAAGCTATTGACTGGGGTTTACCTAGTTCTTCCTAAATTTTAGCATAAATTTGGTACCTCTTCTTCTGAACAGTTAGGGTCAGATTTTGTTTCTTCAATTCCTTGAGTATACCGCTTGTTAAGGTGCTCAGGTGTTATATCTGCATAAAATAGTTGTGAACGAGAGCTAAGCTTTAAACAGAGAGTTACTTTTGAGGTTTGAAATAGAGTCAGAGGAGCCTTCTAGTAGGAATTCGGAAAGACAGTGGGTTTTGGGTTGGATTTTGAGGGATTTGTATAATGGTTTATATCACATCGATAAGAGCCAATCTGGGTTTGCTTTGATATTTAGTAATGAGCTATTCGATATCTCAATTCTCTGAGCTACAGTTTATCAAAACATAAACTTACAAATAATTCTTGTTTCATTTTCTATTGAAGAATTACTTTCTCCCTCTTTAGTTTGGCTATAAGAGGCAGTTCTAAAAGGGGTCTTTTCTTCTTCATCCTTTGAGCTCTAGCATAGGGATTATTTCAAAGTGCTTCTAAGAGGTACAAATAATGTAAATGTCTTGTGTATCAAACAATGAAGCCTAATTCTGTCCGATAAATATCCTAAATATTTCTAAAAATTCAAAATCTAAATAGGAAAGAATTTCTGAATCTTTTAAATCCTAATAATTCCCGGCTAAAAAGGTTGCCTAAATCCCGTTCTGACCCTAATACTTCGTATCTCCAATCGTCTTACCTCAAATCTATCAAATCTGACTAAAGTAGGCCTTTTCTCATTGCTAGGAATCTCTTCTTGAGGCTTGTTCTCTTCTGAATGAGTCTGTGCTCTTAATTCAAAACTTGTTTCATGATTTCTGGTTATTTCCTGACCTTCCTTTTTCCTGTGTTCGTTAACTATTTGAAACAATAATTAAACACAGACTGTAACACAGCAGGGTATGCCTCTAGGTACATGTGCTAAGCAAGAAATCCCCTCTTTGCTATTGAGCAAGCCCTTACATATTTCATGTCGAAAAGACGAAACATTTCACAAATCTGATTAAAATTAACTAAACAATAAGATACCCACAATATTTTTAACAAAATTCTTAGTCTAACCGCTGAGCTTATATGAGTCTTCTCAAAGTGGGTAAATTCAGCATGGGTAATCTAGAAAAGCTGTATAGCACCCATTCATTACATTTGTAGGCATATCAGAAATCCTTTCCGAATTTAATAAGTAAGATTCATGAATAATTTCTGAGGACAAATTGGTTACTAAGCCACTCAAAAAGTATGATGTGAGGCCGTTCTGAGCCTAGCCTTCAGCACAGAGTTTGCCCCAATGTCTAGAAACAGATATAAAGAATTTCTAGTGATCAGGTAACACAGTGAAAAAGATCCTTTAAGTTTTTATTTCTATCGGTTCTTATAAAAATGGCATTTTTTGAAAAATTTAGCTAACAGCTTTGTAATTAAGAATTATGTAATCGAAATTATACAGGTCTCTAGAAGAAGTAGAGGCTCAATATTTCCTAGCAAGGAGCTAATAGTGCCCAAGTCTGAATTTTCTAGTTCAAATTACGTCATCTACTTCAGTTCGCTTAAAATGTACATACAGGGATTGATTTCTTCAAATGTATCATATCTTGGTTGGATAATCTCTTCCTCGCTTTCCTCTCCTTCGCTGTAAGATTTTAATAAACATTCAGAAACATTCAAAAATAATTGGGAAGAACAGAATGTCTCCACACTTGGAAATTATGGAAGCATACGCTTTCAAATAGGTGATTTGTTAATAAAAACTGTTTCTGTATCTATACTTCTTTGAACAAATTATTTACAACTTGAAACGACCCAAACTGGGCAGATAGAATTTCTGAAAAGTGTAATTCTGCAAGAATAAGGCACACAGGGAAACTCAGGAAATATGTCGGATCTAGAACATCATTTAGAGTCCTCTAGGTGTGTTTGTATTCACTAATAATCATGTCTTCTTCCTAACTGAAATATAGTTTCCAAGCTATGAAATAGCATGGCAATTTACTAAACCTCATCAAAACTCTTTCAATTAACAACATTATTCAGGAGAGAAAAGTATTGTGATATAATTGGACAAGTGAAGAGCTTTGGCAGGCTAACTGTGCAATTCTGTAAGTAGAAAATCTCCTCTCCTTGTATTCTGGCCCTAGACTCTGTGGAGGGTAAAAACAGGGCTAGAAATGATACGCTTTAATTTATTTTGATGAGGGAGATTTGATACCAACTATCGATTTCTTTATCTTTGTTAAGTTTCACGCTAACAATCTGATATTAATAATACCTAAAATTTGAATCTTAAGGGAAGCTTAATTCTCTTTGAGATCCATTCTAAAACTTCTGGATTAACCTATTCAATCTTAAACTTGCACATTCCAACAGGACAAATGTTGATTAGTCATCAAATGAAGAAGCAACTTCTAGTAGTGATTTTAAGCAGTTGGAAAGAACTCAAAAGAGTTTTATATCTACTTACTCTGAGAAATACAATGTGTCCATCTTGAGTGAGAAAATATTTATCCAACATTGTTTGTGAACAAGGGGTTTTGGGGTTTTGGGGTTTTGGGGTTTTGGGGTTTTGGGGTTTTGGGG